TTTATGGATATAATTTTTATGGATATAATCTGTATTTCTCGTACTTCTTGTGGAATTCTTCAAAATTCTGCAAACGGGGTCGCGTGAATGGTCCCCTCGCGCCCCGCTTCGACGTTCGCACCGCCGATCCCCGTGGCCAGGCCGTTAGAGCGGTACCAGTGCGAAAGTAGTGATTCACATTGTATTTGAAATCCATTTGGAAAAACGTTGTCAGGAAGTTTATTCCACATAAACGCAGTTTTCCAAATAAAAGAGTTATTATACAGTAAAGTTAGAGGTGTACTGAGTTGAGTCTCAAAACGATGAGCAGTTTACTCAAAAAAATTTTATGGATATAATCTGTATTTCTCGTACTTCTTGTGGAATTCTCCAAAATTCTGCAAACGGGGCCGCGTGAATGGTCCCCTCGCGCCCCGCTTCGACGTTCGCATCGCCGATCTCCGTGGCTAGGCCGTTAGAGCGGTACCAGTGCGAAAGTAGTGATTCACATTGTATTGAATCGCTGTATATGAAATCCATTTGGAAAAACGTTCTCAGGAAGTTTATTCCACATGAACGCAGTTTTCCAAATAAAAGAGTTATTATACAGTAAAGTTAGAGGTGTTCTGAGTTGAGTCTCAAAACGATGAGCAGCCACAGTCTGTCAGGTATTTCTGATATGTACCACTCTTGGTGAATCGAATGTGCCAACAGGTTTAACCAGAAATGAATCCGAGACGGAAGTTTTGAACTCTGTTTGAATTGTTTGTTCATTTAATAGGATATAAAATTATATTTTCGTCGATAGAACACGAGTGATGACTATTAAGAAATCATTTCCTCCAAATTCAATATGGCGAAACTATGAAGTCATTAATGAAAATATTGTCAGACAACTTAATGTATTGAGAAGCAAAAGATGACATTTGTTCAATTTTGAAGACATTTTTAGAAATTGTAATTCTCCACCAATTCAGGTTTTTTGCTAATTTTCCATTCATTCTTTTCGAAAATCTCAATAAATGGTAGTATTTTTTAAACATTTATATCGATATGTATCTCACTCATTACAGATTAGTCGATTCATTTGTCTTTGCAGTGAAAAACTGAAAAAGTGAACAATTATTTAAGTACTGACTTTTTACTGGCACAGAATAATTAACCACATAGTATCTGACATTTTTTTCTGGTGAAGACGTACACTTTAGGTAAATGCTTTGAAAATATCACTTCCTATTGAAAATTTTTTAGATAAAGTTGAAAACTACATTGATGAAAATAAATGGAAAGTACGTTAATTGGTGGAACATTTCAATTCTTGAATTTTTTTTTAAGAACCAAGCAAACTTCGCCTTTTGTTTCTCACTTTGTCCAGTTGTTCAACAATATTTTCATAGATCAGGGCATGGTATCGCCATACTGGATTTGAAGAAGATGGTTTCCACTTTTTGAAATTTTTGAATTGGGTTCATTTTCACTTCAGATTTCCAGTACGTTCATCAGTGAAAATATTGGTTTCAATGAATTACTTTTTCCTCAAATGTTATGTATAATGATTTTGTTGTCAACATGTAGTCTATGCAAGTTAAGAGAAATGAAATGGGATGAATTTTAGGAGCAGAAAGTATCTAGGGATGTGAACTTTGTACAAACTATATGGGGGTATTTTCACTGAATATGGTATTTTTCAGCTTCAACATCAAAATAAAATGTTATATGTTCAACAAGAGAAAGCTTGTCTTCCATTTTGTGTCTGAAAGTTGCTTCTTTGCATGATCCATGTATCTTTGTATAGGGTCAGAGAAACTGATTGCTTTCTTCCTTTGTTCCTTTCTTCGGAAAATTCTCACATTTTTTTGTATAAAGATGGAGAAGCAGAAAGCCAAAAGTTTTAATACCTAAAACTGCTGGAAAACAAATGATTTTTGTAGAAAAAAAAACATCACAACACGGATTTTTCGGAAAATTTGAGGTCATGTGAACGAATGATTTATACAAACTATGAATATTACTGGAGTGTTGGGAAAAAACTCCAGTAATATTCATTACTACACCAAAGGTTCCAAACAGTACATCATAATATACAAACTATGTTAAGTTTTTTTTTTAATGAAAGTTTTATTTCGAGTGGAACTTATGAGAACTTGTTTTCCACCCCTAAAATTCACCCCATCTCATTTTCTGTACCTTGAAACGACTGATCATTTTCATGTTGTTCATATTTTTTTCTAACACGCGTATCTACTGATGGTTGAACAGGTTTCAACTTTTTTGATTCACCCAGTTATATTCGATAATAAAAACGTCAGATACTTGATCAACTATTGCTGTTTGGTTGAAATGAAACGCTTCACAAGGAATTTGACCCATGATGAGTGTGTTCGAGCCGTGACCTGACATATAGCAAACCATGCCATCGGCCTAATGGAGTAAACATCAATATCCCATATTGTTCAACCCTATAGAAGTAATGAAAACGATTACAGTAACCATCCTTGAAAAGGTGACCTCAAGTTACTACAGTTACCCAAAATCGTTTTATTACACATATTTCTTTAAGCGGACCACATTAGAATCTCTAAAACTTTCAAAAAAGGTCGGTTAAATTACAAAAAAATTGTGTATTTCAAAGGTCAAGTCAAACGGTGTACTCAAATCGAAATCAGGCGTTGTCAAGATGTTTGAAGAAAATAAAAATTGTCGATTTTGGTTTCCTTGGTACAGAACTTTCATTTTTAATAGTATAAAAAATGCAGGTGTGAACTTCCTGAGTATTTCATGGACACTTTCTTTAGGTGTCATGATATTTTTGTTGAGATTTTTCGTTCAATGATGGTCACGTCCAACTTTCTTTTCAAATATGGACAAGTATTTTTTCTTTGCAACTGTGTATATCTTTCGCCATGTATCACACTTGACGTGATTGATAGTTTTCACTCTCTGGGTGAATAAGAAAGTTACATGATAGAGTCGACGCGATGTTTCGCAGTGGGACCACGATGCAAAAAAAATTGGAAATTTGTAACGATTCATTGAAGGGTCTTGAAGAATCATGTTCACCATGTTTTCAATAAATCATACCTAAAAACACGAGATTTTTATGAAACAAAAGATATTATGATGTCAGAATTTCAATGCCAACTATTCAGGTGAATCAAATAATTGAATAAACTTTTTCCTCATCAGAACAATGGGAGTAGGAACAATGGGCTATTAGGATTAGGATGTTCATCATCGTTCATAAGTCTCATTCCACATTTTTCGATATCTAAACTTTCGAAGGCATCTTGAAACTTGTTGTCTTATCGGCCTCAACAATTTCAAGCATTCCTCACTTATTCTGTGGCCGTTCTCTATGGAATGTTGAGCAACACTGGATTTCTTTTGTAGTACACTTCAACAAGTGTTGAGCAACCCCAAAGACAAGAAGATGGAAAAGTAGCAATCTGGGATTTGCGAAATAAGATGAATATGTTGGTCAAACTAAGTGGACTACAATAACTCGCTACAAGGAACATGTTTCATACATTGGGTTCCATAGACCAAGGAAGTATAGTGTTCTGTAAAAGATGCCATAGAGAACGATCACAGAATGAGCGGGAAATGCTCGAAATTGTTGACAATAATATACGATTATAAGTTTTCAGATGCCTTCTCAAATTCAGAAATCGAAAAATGTGGAATGAGATCTTTGAATGGTAATGAAGGTTCTATTTTTAATACCTAACCCATTTTTCGCACATGACCTCAATTGCAGGTAGAAACAGGAGAATAATAGGAACAATAATATAATAATAGGAATTGATTTAATGACCCTCATTATGATTTGTCTAGATTCGTATGAAAACATTAACATACCTGTAAGAAGTAGTTTTAGTCATCTCCTGATGGTGCTAACTAACACGCGTTGAGAAAAAGCATTTCTGTTCTGGCGCAGATAGTGTTTTCATGCCAGAGGGTCCAAATACGACTTGTCAAGCGAATCAATCAGCCGCGTGCAGATGATATCAGAAAATTATGGAATTTACCGAGAACGAATTGATAGATGTTTTGAGCTATACTCAGAGCGTGTATAGATTACCAAACCAAATCTATTTCAGAAAACTGGAAAGAAACCCACAAACATTTGGTTATTTCATAAACTGCGGGTCGCTAAAATCGATGCATCATTGCGAAGAAGAATGATGCTGATGTTCTTGGATAAGTCAGTTATGAAAATAACATTGATGGAGAAGTTTCCTTACGAGAAATTGAGAACATTCAGGTATATCGAAACGTAAACAATTATCGAAAAATACAAATATCGTCCATACAAAATTCTATTAATCTAGACTCTGTAGATTGTTGTTGAGGAAAAAACGTTTCGATAATAGGACTGGTGTCAAAATCATTTGGAAAGATGAAAGTTCAATCGCAATGTCCACTTTCATTGGAGTGATGAAAACAAGCGTCGAACCCGTGATACATATTACCAAAAACGTTTTGGTATCAATGTTTAACATGAGTTATTCTGAGAAAGAATATGTTGTCTTTTATTAATAAGATAATATCACTTTTTTTTTCTGGAACTTGTTTTAAAAAAACGTTTTTTACTATCAAATAAATCAGTTTTGCACTCAAACTATTGTGGTGCTGTTCAACTGTTTGGTATTTAACATTGCGCTTTCACTTTGATATATTTTAAAAATCGTTTGTGACTATTTGTCCAGATATATCATTTCTTGTGAAGTTCGCTTTTCATCTGAGTGGTCAACCAATCATAGTTGGGAGTAGCGCTTCCCTCAATAGAATAAAAATTGCCCTTGAACTATCAACCTCGCTTCTATAACACTACTTCAGAAGAATTACACCTATTTGTGTTTGATTTCGGTTATTAGAATGCCACAAAAATATACTACGAACAGTTGTTTACGAAGAAGTGAATAAAATTCATAAATATTATGAACTCTTTCAACACGACATTAGGATTGTCATTGCACTCTGAATTATAAATAAAGTATATAAAAAACGATATAAAACCAAAACCACTTTTAGCCCGTTTCAGTTGTTTTTCGTGGGGGAGAGTTTAAAGGGAGTTACTATGAAAGTTTTAATTGTTTTTGCGTTGGCCATACTGGCCTACGTAGAAGCCGACTGTGGATGTTTGAAAGTGAGTACTGAATTAATAAGGAGTGTTCCGAGAAAATAAACGATATTTCAGAAACAGAGAATCTATCTTAATTTTTCATTCTACACTTGTGAATCTAATGAAAAAACATCTTTCGTTTTCTGAAGCACTCTTTCTGAAAATTCCAATCGATTAAAATATTTCCTTGCGGAGACCATTTTTCAGGTTGGTTTCTGATGGGTTCAAATTTGCATCTAACCTGTCAAGGAAAATTAAAGTTGAATGAATATATTTAACAACAGTTTCTTGAAATTTTTTAAAATCACAACGCATGTTTTACCATAGAATATCTTCACTATTAGGAAGCAGAATTATAAAATACGTGTTGCGAATTTGTGAAATATTCTATGGAAATATCACAAAAAAGTCTTGTTAGATACGTTATGAATTACTATCGAGTATTGATCACACAGTTCTTTTTTTTCCACAACTATATACATAGTCAAACTTTCAAAAAGCTCGCTCTATTTTTCACAGAGCTCTAATGATCTGGAAGCTATTTTTATTCGTGAACTTGGAATAAGTTTCAAACTGAGTTAGTGACAAAGCTTCAATTTTCACAAGAAATAATACCGTATTTGAATGAATTCCAAACGCAAAATGCATAAATTTTGTCATATTCAAAAAGCTCGCTCTATTTTTTACAGAGCTCTAATGATCTGGCAGCTATTTTCATTCGTGAACTTGGAATAAGTTTCAAACTGAGTTAGTGACAAAGCTTCAATTTTCACAAGAAATAATACCGTATTTGAATGAATTCCAAACGAAAAAATGCATAAATTTTGTCATAATTTTTTATTGAAAAAATGCCTATATATGTTATGGAATATGAAAGTACCATCTTTCTGATGGGAAGTTCTACTTCTAGCTAGTTGAAGTTTTCATTTGAATATGAATCAAATGCAATAACACACAATATCAAACCGTATCTAGAATAATAGCAGCAAATACAAAAAATATTGAAACGATTCAAATATATTTTTTACTCTTTAGTATATTTTCATCGAAGTGAGAATTTGAAAATTCTCACTTCTCAGTTCTCAATTACGACTTTGGGACTTTGACGAAATGATTTTATTTAGTTCTTTTTAATATCAAAACAGACAATTTTCATGAATCGTAGTAGAATTTTCTTGGAACTGATAACACTAAACCTGGAACTCTAAGTTAGTTATGAGTACACTTTTATAAGAAAATAAATGAAACTGGAATAAATAGTTTATCAGTATACTTTAAAGGAATATAATAACCATTCTCAGAAGAAAAAATGACACCATCAAGAGGGTGATCTATTGTGTGGTTTCTGTTCTGTAAGATATTACAACCGTTGAATTGATTATTCATTGACATTTTTTGGTGAGACCACTGAATTTCATATCAGTTACTGTGGAAACTAGAAAGAATTGTAAATGTTTCAGATTTTTTTTGTTTTTTCTCAAATAATTTCTGGCTAATTGGTACCAACAAAAGCCATATTCCTCCCATTACACCCACATTTTGATCTGAACCAACTCCATTTAATGAATTATGAAAAATTTGAATGAATTCTTTTGAACAAATTCTAATGATAATCTATTTTTAGGGAAGACTTCTCCATCATGAATGCCACTCTGCGGCTTCTGTAAGGTTCAATTCTAATTGTTAACGTTCGTCAAATGGAATTATTTTTTTAGTTCAATTCGGAATTTGTCCGATAGCGGATGAACTATTCAAATCATTCCTGATGGCGAATAAATCAAAATGAATGTTCACCAAAAGTTTTGATAGACGGACCTTTTGTTGATGAAAAATCATATTCATTTTCGAAAATTCTTAACATTAATTTACAATCTGGATTGAAATCGATGTGGGAATTAGATACGACTCACACATATCATTGCTATCCAAAAAATATGAGAAAAATAGTCCATGCAGTTCGAAATTCTCAGTTGAAACAATAACAATATTACAAACTACTCCGGAATCGATTTGGTCTTTACCAACTTTATTTCCAAAAATATCACGACCTGTTTTGCTGTCACAGTATATAGCTGTTTCGTAGTGAATAACATACATAAGCTATTCACTACGTTTCCGGTGTAGTTTGTGAAAATACTATGAATCTTCATCAAGAAGCAGCTGAGTTAATCAGAAAAATACAATATTACTTTCATCAAAAATTATTTGTCATATGGTATTGCTTTGCTATAGTTTTAGTAAATGATATCACGGAAATAAATAGGGATATACCAAAATAATTTATCAATTCGAAAGAACTGAATTTGCACATCAAATGAATATGATATATGAATAAAACAATTCCATTCATTAAGGTTTTCCGAATAAATCATTTTCATGTTTCAGAAGAGTCTTTAATTTTTTAATGAAGAAGTTTAAGAAGTATACAGTACGGTCAACGGATCTTTAACATGCATCATCAACTTGTGTATCCAAAAATCGACAAAGTAATAGAAATCTAACGACGTGGCTACTACTTCAACAACCTAACCTTTTATTAATGAAATTATCAAATTTCACATTCGGTCAGTTATTCTGCGAATAAATAGAATTTCATATTGCATATTTCAAATTCGATATATGTCAAAAATACAGTGCATTTCTTTAATGTCCTCTCCTCCTTTTATTTTTTGAATGAAATGATAATGAAATTAATGCGTGAATACTTTATTTTGAAGTGGAATTGACAGATGAAACTTTCAAGATGGTGACTGGACGCCATCTGGGAAAAAAATAAATGGAAAGAACGGTCTTGTAACATATCATTTTGAAGCTCCTGACGAATACTTCACAACCCTAGAATATGAAGTCAATATCTTCACCTACTACAAAATGGCGAAACATTCAAGTTAGAATATTCTCATTTAGTTTTCGGTTTTACTAGTAGAAAGGTACCATTTCAACAATCCCTAAAATGGCCAATTTTCGTCCATTGGAAGAAAAAATTTAAGCGATTTTTATTCACGGTGCGACGCGGAACTTTCACGAGACCGAAAGGATTTTCAATGAACGTTTTCCGAATCGCCCTATCTGTAGAAAATATTTGAGGGAACTTGCATCCAAATTTACAACTACCGGTAGTGTATATAACAAAAAGCCCCCACCCAGGTCATCCGTCCATTCCTGAACAGCAAGTGCAAATAATTAGTGAGATGGTATTAAATCCTGAACAGTCTACTTATTTCGTCGCGAACGTTTGTGAGGTATCTCCTTCTACTGTGTGGAGACCAATTAACCAATTAACTGAAGATGACCCTGATCGAAGAACAGAATTCTGCGATATCATAACAATATTTGTTTTAGTGACGAATGTACATTTTTTTAAAATGGCAATGTTCACAGACAAAATTACCGTTATTGGAGTGACGTCAACCCTGACGTTTTCCGAAAAACACATACCCAATATCCAGAGAAAATCAATGGTTTGCAAAAATATTGGGAAACTATATTGTAGGATCTCTATTTGTTGATCAAAATTTAACTGTATATGAATATGCTTGAAAATACTCTTTGGATAACTGTTTTCCCGATTGTTAGTTTGACTGTCGAGGTCCTATAGATTGGCGAGCCTGCTCGCCAGATTTGACACCTTTGGACTTTTTTTTATGGGGGTATTCGAAGCAAAAGGTGTACGAAACTTAACCTGCTTCAATATTGGATATACGGCAGAGAATAATAAATATTTGTAGAGATAATGACGTTACTGTGTTCGAAAATGTTCGTCGTGAAATATCGAATGGGCTGTTCATATGTCAAGAAGTTCAAGGCAACCATTTCGAGCATCTTCTGAACTGCACTCAAGCTTGTTACCTCATATTATGTAGTTAAATGTCAATGTATTCAGACAATTATTGAAAGTTTCGCTATTTTGTAGTAGTTGAAGATATTGACATTATATTCTATGGTTGTGAAGCATTTGTCTGGAGCTTCAAAATGATGTATCACGAGACCCACCTTTCCATTTAATTTTTTCCCCAGATAGCGCCCAGTTGCCACCTTGGAAGTTTCATCTGTCAATTTTACTTCAAAATAAAGTATTCATGCATTAATTTCATTGTCCGAAATTTCAATTTTTTGAGTTGATCCGTTCAAAAAATAAAAGTACCCAATTCATAATTACGGAATGAAATTCAATCACCGTGATATTGAAGACAAACGGTAGAAAATGTCAGAATGTCATTTCTCAAACGATATCAATACGTCATCAATTGATCTTAAAATGTAAGAAATTGCCGATCACTCACATCTGCATAACTCTTTTCGATGTACTTCGTGAGAGCTCTCATACGAACAAACGCAAATGTCGAGTTTCTTCGAAAGTTTTTTACTAAAGTAAATTTTTTATGAAAAATGTGTTTTATCTCGTCAAGTATTGATGATGCATACATATATAATGATTCGTTGTCGCAAATGCATTTGTTGTTCGACTCGAGAGAAAATGTAAGAAAATATATGTTGTTTAAATAGAATAATGGAAAATAAATGAAGCAATATATCGTTTCAGATACATTTCGATAATATATTTTACTTTTATTTCAACAAGTGCTTGTACAGGACGCCTATACGGGCCCGTCGATCAAAACTTTTGAACATACACCTTCACTGATACAATTTTTTTCAGTGCTCCAAACATCTCACGATTGCTGGTGAAATAAATGGTGCGCCTGGACACAAACCCATCAAGGTAATTTACAGGTGTCAAAATGGAATAGGTAGTTGTCCTCATTATCCAAACGCATTACCAATTGAAGTGCAGAAACCGCTTGCAATCCCTGAAGAAACTCCACCATTGTCCTGTGGCAAAGGTCAATACTCATATGGCGTAAGTGAGACATACATACTCTATTTTGCCAAGCTTTGATTTTGTGAATGTGAAGGCTTTGAGAGCCGATTTTATTATAGAATTAATTGTAGAAAAGAGATCGAATAAAACAAGCCCTCTCCACTCACGAAAGAATCATTGTTTTCCTATCGTGATTACAGACAGTAAGAAACGATAAATAGACTATTGCAATGATCCACAACTCACACGTACAAACCAATCACATTTGAGTAAATTCATTACTTAACAATTGTGCTTTACATTTTCATTTGCAAGTAAGTCTCGGAAATCTATCTATTTCAAAATGTTCTTGAACGTTAAGTACAATCATTAAATTTAGAGTTCGTTTCAAACTACATAGTTTCTAACAGAAAAAAAAAGAACCAGAACATTTTCTATGGCTCTCGGGCGCATAGTTCATAATAACCAGAACATCGAAAGTGTACCCCACCAGACATTTAAAATATGTCAAAAATATTATTTCCCAAGTTCGTCATTGAATAACAAAATAAGTGTGGTTAGAAACTGGAATATCTTTATATCACATCAATTTGTAAGTAGAACGGTAGAATGGTAGAGCGGTTGGTAGAACTCTGGGCTTGTAAGCCAATGAGTGTCGATTCAAATCAAACTGATTGCAGTTTTTGATTTTTCAATCCACCACTCAAATTCCAAACTACTTGAAACTGAGTACAGTAACACAAATTGAAAAATAATGATACTACTTCCATTCAGAATATTCTTCACAAAAGAATCAATTTTAAAAATTTTTTGATATAGAAAAAGTATATTCTCGTGTACCCCCGAGAAATGGCTTGCTTTCGGGTCACGTTGACAAACTTCATTCTCATGGGTACTAACCACATTTCTCGCTCGTTGATTATTTTACACATTTATCTGATTCTTAAAGCTCATATAAATCTGAAATCCACCTAATTTTTGATCATAGAGATAAAATGTATGGGGTTTTTATCGAGTCGTTGTAAGCTCAATAGTGCCAAGGAGCTGAATGTGATCTGGCGAAGTACTAGATTCATAGAGTCTAAGGTTCTATTGAAGTACAGCGCTTCTTATCTTTGAATTGAAATAAAACGAAGTGTGTGTGAGATATCATCAAACGTGTTTATTCGTTAGAAGGACCAATTGATGCCATTATATGTGGAATTATATGTCATCTTGGCTTTGAGGACCGCAGAATATTCAATGTGGTATGAGCTGTGTGGTACGTAGCGCCGTTCTGTTGAAACCAGATGTCGTTGGATTCCAGATAATCCAATTTAGGTCGAAAGAAGTTGAGAATCATCGACCTATAGTGCTCGTCGTTGACAGTGATGGCCTGGCCAACGTCGTTGTCAAATGAATACGGACCGATGACGCTGCCAGCCCAAAATCCACATCGATGAGTGACTTTTTCGGGATGCATTGGACGCTTTTGGATCTCATGTGGATTGGTATTGTCCCAAATTCGAAAATTTTGTTTGTTCACGTACACCTTCATCCAGAAATGGGCCTCATCTCTAAAGATGATTTTTCGATTAAAATTAGGGTCAGTTGCCAACTGCTCATGAGCTCATTCAGTTAAGGTCGTTTAGTTCCTGAGTCAGCTGAATGTTGTACGGGTGCAGGCCAAGGTCACGAAAGGCCAAGTTCTTGTGAGCGACGTGAAATCGATTGCATCGGATTCTCCTGCAAATTTTAACAGACAGCGGCGATGAACGGCATAATATGTTGCATTTCGTCGACGTACGGGTGTTGGTCGATCGTTTACTGAACCAGTGGACTCAAATTTATCCTCCATATTGCGAATAGTCCTCTTGGTAGGACGATAATGGCAACCGCAAAATGGGCGGAGGGCGCGGTACGTTGCCCGAATAGAAGACCCATTTTGATAAAACAATTTAATTATTTGCACGTGTTGTTGAATGCTATATCCGTCCATGGGAATTTGACAAAACACACTGAATAAATGACGACTAATTTGACAGATGTAGCTACAACAAGATGACCGTCAGCAATTGTCAAAATTTTGAAGTCCCTGTTGTGTTAGTATTGGTTGATTGAATTGTCTATTATTGAATCTGCCACTCATTGAGAAGGATACACATGCGTAATTAGGCGATTTAGGTGGTACCGAAAGAGAATTGAAACATATTTTGTGTGTAGGGGCAATACAAATAATATCAAGTGATTACGACATAGTAATGGTGATGAGGTATATCTTTGAGTTCTTTTAGTGTTCAGCACAAGTACAGGATGAGTTATGAAAATGGAAAAGGGAAAAGTCTGTAACAAGGAAAAAGAAAAAGAAGACATTCATTACCAAGCCCAAAATTCTGAAGTTGTCAACTTTAGACAGACACGCATTTTGGACTATGAATCGTCGATCAGTTGGAGGGGCAGACAACTCTAATGATTAATCACTCGTTTTGGCACTACGCGGCCAAGCATTGAAAATACAGCAGAACATTATGAAAAAATTAAAAAAAAGAATATCAAATACTTGATACGGAGACCGACATTCGGGACATGTGCACCACAGTCAACTTAGGAGGTTAGTCAAGAACACGTGGAAACTGTTAGAAACCTTGGTGGAACGTTGTCATTTTCATTCCCAAGATCTGCATTTGGAAATGCAGAACAAAGTTTTTTTTTGCAGCATCTACTCAATGTGAAAATCGAAAGAATTCATGAGGATATAAGGTGGTTCCTTCAAATAACTAGGCATCAGTTACTTAGACGGAATTCAGGAGAATAGATGGGAAAATATGATTGTATCATTCACAAAATGATCAAGTTCATTTGAAAAACAATGTGTTTCACGATATTCATAATGATGGTGTTGATTGAAATTGGTAGTATGAAGGAAGAAGTTGAAGTCAGCAGCAAGAAGTGCTAAAGTTAACCATAAAAATGCATCCATATTTCAAATAGAAATGAAATGAATAGACTCCATAAAACTACGGTGCTGTAACAATAATCGAAACGAAAAGGAATTCTGGAAAAACATGGAGCAAGGATGAGTGGAACAAGCAAAAAAATTACCCGAATAGAAGAAATTAAGTCAAGGAAATGAAATAATTGCCTGAACTCCAACGAGAAAAGAAACGGAAATAAAAATGTTACCAACATAGAAATAATCCATGATTTATTTCACTTCCAAAACCGAATACAGAAAATTTGAGGCTCCGGTAATTTCAGTCCTTGATGAATATCAAAAGATATATAGAGAGTACAGAAAGTAAGCTGAAACTGGAGGAATCTCAAACAAAAAAGCAGAAAGAAATAGATACCTCATAACTCACTTCTTCATGAGTTGTGCATCGACGATAATTTAGAGAAGCTACGAGCAATTTATACCAAAAGGTAATGGAAATCATGAATGACAGTCATGTATTTCAAAGGAAAACTCGGAATATAGGAATCGATTTCTATACATTTTAGTGAATATACAAGGCGAATGAAGTGTATAGATCAGTGTACAAAATTTGAAGTGTTGATATGGCAGAAGTATCTTAAGAAGGTCATTTTGATAAGCTTCCAATCATAATTAAAAGTGTTGGAAAAGATTCCTGTCATATGCAAATGATGATGTTGTATTAATCCCAGAACACTGAAAAAAACAATGACGACATACCGAATTCATATCCATCGTAGGATCCAGCTTAGATCATTCCTTGTTGATTACAACTTGGTTAATTGAAATGCGCCTGAAGAATTTCGAAGCTCGGCTATAATCAAGAGGTGTTTTTGTGGGATATACTTTAGGAGTTGACTGATTATGTGACACAATTAGGGAGAAAAAGGGGCTATGACAAAGACAACATCTGAGACGACAACAATTGAAAGAGAGTGCAGTGTTATGAACCTTAATTCCTAGAAAAATATTCTAATTTTATGATTTTCATAGAATTTGAACTGCAAATTCAATTGCTTGTATGATACGTTATTTCGGCCAGTTGTTTGTCCAAGGTTTGTTTTCATGAATTATATTGAATGAAAATAGTCAAACAGAAGTATACTCTTCATTGTTCTAACCCAGTGATATTGACAATGGAACTGAATGATGGAAAAAAACAGCTTATGGACGGTTACAAGTCTCTTTTCAACCATGTAGTCATCATTACCATAACAGATGATTTTGGGAAACTAAAACACATGCATTCATTTTCCAACCAGTGAATGAACAGTTTTCTGCTGAAATTTCCTTACTCAGTTGCATTCAAATAGTTTCAGTAGTTTCATTTCTCTTAGATATCTTTCACTTCTGAAAAGGATTTTTGAGTCAACAGCTGATGATCTCAATATTTTAGGTATCAATTTGCATAAAATGTTTTTCAGATTTCAATAGTAGTATTAGGGTTCTGAGAACAATCTCAAATCATTGGCAATTTGAGTGTTTTATTACATTATCGTTAAACCACATTTCGTTTTCAGATGCAAGCATTTTACAACAATCCCTCTTTCATATCTTCATATCAAGGAATTTATGATAACTCTCACCACGGATTCTCCCACGGAATAACTCATGGAACTTCACACGATTCTACCAATGGAGGAACTGATGATTCCTATGCACAAGGGCTGGGCATTCACCCAATAACAGTACAAAAACCTATCCCAGTTTCTGGAGGAGATATCACTAACTGCGTTCCCATGTCAGGACTGAAAGCCTCCATCGACAGGGTTGTTTTGCCCAGCAATCGTAAGTTGTTCTTTATAAATATAGTTTCATTAAGATACAGTTGAATGACATTGAATTGGAAGAATACTATTTTTGTACTGATATGATTTTCTTGGTCACACCTTCCTGAAAAAACTTAGATGAATTGGTAGAAGACATTGGCATCCTTTTTTTATACTACTTGGAACTGTCTTTGTTCATTCCTTGCAAATCTCTGGAAAACACTGCAATCTCAAGAGTTCATTGCGTTTTCCTCCCATCTTTTTCATGAAACCCATTTCAACAATCTTGTGTTCTGCACTAGGTTGTATCGGTTCCTTGCCAGGTTTATTTCATATTTTATCATTATTTATAAACATTTAATTAGATAATACATAACATTAAAATGAACAGTTCAAAAATAACTTTACAAAACGCTCAAAGGTGCAAACTCGTTTTCTCCTTTTCATAAAAGAGGATGTATGCACCTCCACTCACAAGCGATTTTGGTGAAATTGGTGACACTTGTGAATCATTGTATCCGTGCCACGTGCCATTATAAGGATGTCTGCAGAATGCTGTATAATGTCCGTTGTAGGTAGACCCACTGTGATTCGAAAGTGCATATAGATTATAGCGACAAGGAGTCACATTATCTGCTGCATAATTGTTCATATCTAATCCATCTAGAGGAAATTCGATGGCAACATTTAACTTGCCTCTAAATCTTTCTGTTAGAGAAAATCTTTTTAAATGAATAACTAAAATATGGGGAAACTCATGGATCGATAGAGACTTTGTCTATTTTCTTCTTTCTTTGCAACTTGAACACGTCGGTTTTTCATGTCCATCCAAAGTTTCCTCTCATGTGAAGAAATCCAAGCACTGTGATGAACTCAGTTGGTTAGTTCTTTCTGGTATGGGGAGTGACAAATCCCAGAAAGGATCAAAGGTTACATATGAGGGTCCACAATGTGTGCACTTCATCGTGGATTTTAATTGACCAGCGAAATTATCTACAATCTTAGAGTTATATGTATTCAAATAAATCAGCCATGACTTTTGTGCTTTTTCGCTGTCGCTCAATTTTTCGTTAATCTCCGTTAAGGTCGGTTTAGATTACTCAATTATTCTATTAACGTCATCATGTAAACCTTCTAAAAGATAACGAAAGACTCCTGGGCGTTTTGATGCGCATGACCCATGAATCGAGGGGCAAAACTCTGAATCTGACTTTTTAAGGAGACTGTTCACTGCTCTATCAGATGAATTTTCTGACCACAATTCCTTGATAACTTCTGCAAAAGCTTTGATTAAAGCATTCTCCGAACTAGAAATATTAATATTGATATCTTTCATGTACTCATCTTTTTTCGAATGTTCCAATAGCCATCTCGTATTGGATAAACATTGGATTGATTACACTGTTCATGAAACAGGTGTTGCCAATATTTTTCAACCCATTAAGCCCAAGGGTTTTGACTGAGGAACATATCACTGATCTAATTGTCTTGTAGCTGTTGGTGATACGTTCGTCACCGCTGTTTTCTTTCCAGTAATCACGGATGCAATGATTCTTCCCATCATTGGACCAACGGAATGAGGAATTTGAAGTTAAATTTCTTGAAACTGAATTAGATATATTCATGGTGGTTTTTTCGAATTTGGGAGAGAAAGATAATTCCAGAACTTGTTTATTTTCCTCTCCATCTTCTGAGACAATTGGGAAGTGATCAATCTGTTTACTCCATTTTGCGATGTTCATAGGAAATTTTGATTTGATTTGTGGGTTCAAGAATATTTCATCTAATTCAATATACTGAAGTGCATGCAGTATATTTCAAGAAAAGAGTGATTTTTTGGGAAAGATAGGTTTTTGTTTTCTATTTTTCCGTCTTGTATCAAGACCTTTCTTTCCAAAAAAAAGTGTATCATATTCTCCTGGATATAATTGGGTTGTCCATAAATTGTTCACCTCCTGTTATACAGTATCTCACATTTGCATAAAATAGGACAAACTGTATCTGTCCCTTTGTTGCATTGTCTGCAGTGGACGTCTTCGTTGAACAGCCCTATTTCATTCAGGTGTCCTTTCAATGGTCAGTGTCCAGTGAGTAGTCCTGTAATAATTCTCATCCGACCCCTGCTTCGTTGAAGCAGTTATTCAGTTCTCTTTTCGGTCGGCCCCTTTATGAAGGTTTTCCGTTTGTGTTATCGGGTTTTCCTAGTCTCTCTTTTTGATCTGGTTCCGTACCAGAGACTTTGGAACCCTCACAGCTGGTTCAGGGGCTATATATGAGTTGAGGAACCGTGTTTCGCACACGGTGCACGGTGCACTCCTGCACCCAGTATACAGTCAATCTATTTCTATCCGCCAGTTTCACGAATACGTATTTGAAAAATTTATGGCTCATTTCATCATCTTACAAATGTTGAAAATAATGAAACCTATAGAGAAATCACTACATACTTTCCAGAAAGAGTAATTCATAAATCTATTGGAATAGTTTGTAGTATTGAAGTATTGAAGGAGAATATTTTGAAAATTTTCATTCGTATCTATACTTTCTGAAGAAATGGAAAAGTAAAATTAATTTTTTTTTCAGCATTCCCAGCTTTTCGTAAACTGATCGACAGCACAGACAGATACAACCCAGTATACAAGGATTGCCCACAACTTCTTTGTCAAAGAGAGAGGCATTCCTGTAAAAAATGTTGTGGCTGTGCTCCACCACCCACTATTCAGTTGCTACATGAAAACAGGTACATACATTCGAAAATGAAAATATTGTTGCCATCTAAAAATAATTTGAAAACAGAACATGAGGAATCCCATTATCGTACAAAACGTCAATTACCGTTTTTGGATCATGGATATGAGTTCTTTATGAATATGCTTCCACCATTCATCCAAGATCCCATCAAAAACGCAGTTAATATCATGGCTCTCACGCATCCCGATAAAAAAATACAGAAAATGTATAAGCAGCCTCCAAAGAAGACCCTTCCGGAAAAACTCTTAGACCAACACAAAAAAAATGTCGCCAATTTGAAGGCGAAACTGTTAGGGCCGACTCACAGAAGAAATCATTTAAAAAAGTCCACAATCCATAATGATTTCCTCAGTAGAGAGGCAGGTGTTTTCATTGACAGTTTACAAGAGCTACCATCTGAATCCAAAAAGTTGAAAATAGCAGGACTTAAAATGAGGACACCTTTATCTGGAGAGGAAAAAGAATATAAAACAATCAATGATAAAAAGTGGTTGCGGGAGATGACCGTACATGATATTCTTGATGATGATTCAAAATCGGACCAGAATTCACCTGAAAAAACGATGACTAATGCTGAAAAACTGTTATTCAGATTGAAACTGAAAGAATTGAATGCACACAGAAGATCAAAGAGAGAAATACCCTGCTTAAACGACACTAATGTATGTAGAGAAAAAAGGTCTATTATCATTGATTCTGAAGAATTTTCACTACCGCTTTATCAAGTCAAAATTGGAGACAGCGATGAAGAATCTGCCGAACATGGAGATTCTGAGGAAGACGATTATTATGGAGCAAAGGAAAGAATTGTCGGTAAAATCAAAGGAAAAATATACGACGAAGATGACGAAGATAGTTACGAGCCAACAATAATTCTTGCCAAGTCTAGAAAGATGAGCAGAGATGACTCTAGAGAAATAGTCATCAGAAAGGCAATAAGAGAAGAGTTGCAAAAACTTAACCGTAAACAGAGTAGCGAAGAAACAGTTGCTTCACATCCACGTTTGAATACACTAGTTTCACAGTCTCCTCTTATCAACTTACTATCACTTCCCATGAAGTTTTTTTCAGGTCTCAATGACCTGAACAAGAAAACAATCCCTCTGGTTGGTACTGTTCCGAAAATAATAGTAGGCACCAAGAAATATTTCAGAGACTTTGGTAAAAACTTCAAAAAGAATACACTGAACTTTGTAAGTGACGTTATAGGAGATTTTGATCACGACGGACCAACTGAAAATATTTTGAGTGACATTTTCAGGCCAAAAAGATATAAAAGAAGTGTTCAAGGATTGAACACAGGACTGGGACGTACAAAAAATAATTCAGAAACTAAAATGCCAGAATTTACGTCGGATTCTATGAGAGGTGATAATACTGGCTGCGAGAACAAAGTTAGAAAGAAAAGGTATATTGTGAAGGTGGTTGATGACGATGAAATAGAAGCAATTTTGAGGAGAAAACTGGAGAGACTATTCGATGATTCTAATGAAAGTTACAAACCCCAGAAGAAACGACAAAGGATGCCAAAATATTCCGAAGATAGATATAGTGGAGAAGTACTTCAATCAAGACGATTTTCAAGAAAAAAACACTATGACGTATCTGAAGAGGATCATAAACGAAAAGTGGTTGTTCAGAAGATACGACCGAAAGTAATAATAGATAATAATGGATTGCCTTTCATGGAATTAGATGGGTATAAGAGGCCGATCTTAATGAGTAGTAGAAAATTCAGAAATAGAAAAGTTTACGAATCTTCCGAAGACCAAACTCTCACTAATTACGACTCTTCCGAAGAAGCTAATCTACAAAAAATTCACGGAGTGATAGATTTTGCCAAAAACTGCCAAGTTCAGTCCACGAGAAATATTGAAATGCCATTACAAACACTGAAAGAGAAAATTTCGCAACTTTTATTCGAGACTGACGCGTTGGTACATATGAATTTTGAAAAATATGATGAAATATATGATGATTTGATTAATATCCAGCAAATAAAGACCTCTACGGTTCAAGATTGGAAAAGATTGATTATGGAAAAAAAGATAAATGATCGTGAGGCCAAAATTGCCCTTTTGGGTAAATTGCATGAAATGCAACGCATAAAAGAAATTGCTCTCAAAAATATTGTTTACGCCTTGTATTTAGATAATGATAACAAATTTGTTGTGAAGGAATTCACGAAAATGTTGGTCAGACTTCAAAAACTTCAGTGTGTCGTGAATCAAGTAGTGGCATCTTTTCAAGAAAAATTCAGTTTGGGAACAAAATTCGAATTGAGCAAAGAAATAAAATATGTTGAGTACTTGGCTTCTACTAATTTTGTTTATGCAAAAACTAGAAATGATTTGATAGCGAAATTGAAAGAGGCAAGAGATAACGAACTTCAAGCAAACATTCAACAACTCGACAAATTGAAGAAGATGTTAGTCAAAAATGATGAAAACATCATCGACGAGGAATCGAATATTTTGTGGGAAATGAAAAATATCGAGAAGATGCAGGTTGATAATATAGAAGAGATGTATCACAATATGGAGGAAGGGGGCAGAATTAAAAAGAATTTGAAGATTCTGTTCGATTTTTCGAAAAGGATGCAGGTTCTTGAAGCCGAAGAGAAGCGGTTGTATTCAAAGTGTGAAAGCCAAGAGAGCTCCGAAGATATAGAAGTTTCAATTGAAAAATCGATCAAAATTGAGACATCACCAAAAAAAATTGACATCGAACAATTTAAGAAAAAGTGGCAAGACAAAGTGAAGAAAAGAAAATTTCTGATAGAAAAAAATCTCAAGAAGACTTTGGTTAAGCTCAATGTCAAAGAGGGGTCTGATGAATCTGATTGAGAACTTGCAATGGAGGAAGCACTGGAAATGTAGAAGAAAGTGATTCTTTTGTCTGACACTTTGATTTTGGGGACTATAAAGAAAAGAGATGAAAATGAAAATATATATATGAGAACAAAAAAGTCAAGAAGTAGAAAAATGAAATGAAACAGTAAGAAAGACAATTGTAAACCAGTAAACGAGAAATATTTGAGATGTTGTTTTCGATTAGAATAAATTTTGAAGTCCAGAGTTAGTTTTTTTTGGAGAACAATTGTCTTTTTTATTTTTTTGAAGAGTCTGTTTCCAAGTGTTTTTTTTTTTGTTTTAGGTACTATTGAGTAGCCAAGATTCGATGAAGAAAAATAGAAAAGACAATGTTTTGGAACTCGATGGAAATTGCATGCAAACCAATAGTAAAACTAGTCAAAAAATTTCACTGAACTCATTGTATAAATTTCAATAAAATTTATGTGATTAATTTCAAAACTTTTATTTACGTGCGAATACTGGTTGATGACATGCATAGTTTACATAAACTGTAGTCATTGAACCCAATCAGTCAGCAGAAGTAAGCACTGATATTGACCTTAGATATCTATTTACACTTAAGTCGATGCCACTATCAAAATGAGTTAGAAATGAATTTGATATTTCAGTTAATATAATCATGTTTACAATAGTATATCGTCGTGAATTGACCACTATCGTAATTTGCGGTCTTGAGATTACTATTATTTACTTTTTTGAGCAAAAGGAAGAATTTGTATCATTATTTTTTTAGAATTGTATTCATAAACACAAAATGTAATACATAAATAATATTATTCAAATTGTTAACCAAAATTGTAATAAGAAGAAAATGTTTTTATATGCTCCACTAGATTAGTTTGTAAACGAATGGAAAAATTGAAATTTTACATATTTTCCATTCTTCTCGGCAGCAAAGGAGTTTGAGTGCATATATACTTTCATTATAATAGTAATAATAATATTTTTCGGAATATAATATCGATTGCAAGATAGTTCGGTCTATTAGACAAAGCATATACACAATTAAAAACTCGATTACCCTAATTAATTATTTGTTTTGAATGACATAATAGTTGCGAGCTATAACCGGGGTAAGCAGGAATTTGAGATTCTGATAATTCAGAAAATAACTCAGGTATCTGAATCTGAACAAGAATTTAATTTAATTCAATCAGACTTATAGTCTGAAACAAAAATTGTCGGATTTTTTCTGTTAGCTCTACTGCTTCATTTCAAAATAATATGAAGAAGAGAAAGCATTTTTTATGCTGTTTCATTTTGTTGCTATCTGGTATGAAATAATTCTCAATGCGACGTTTCGTTCTTCGGATTTCACCATCAACTTTTTTTCAATTTCTGTTTTCTTCCATCAATTTTAGATACCAACAAATAGTAAAAATACTTTTCGTATGTAGAATTTGAAAACATATATGAACTCGAATGTTTTTTGTTTGAATTTAGCAGGTAGATGAAAATACTTGTACATTCCTTCATGTTTTTGTTACGACTCATTTTTATGAAGCATTTTTATGAAGCAGTTGTTTTTCAGCTGATGAAAATATTGGAAACACGTATTCATAGAAAACCCTAAAATATAAATGTCTAATTCAGGGCAAGTACATAAAATTGCATTTGCCTTTCTCTGGCATCGAAAGAAAAAGAGTATAAAAGAAACGTCTCAAAAACATATGTCTTGATACACGATATGAATTTGTGCTGGTATTTGAAAAACACTTCGGGTTCCAGATACCAATAATGTTGGTCTATACTTTTGTGACATCTTTCACAGGGAATTGCATAATTCTACAAGTACATATCTGAATTTGTGATTCCTGAAATTGAAGGAGAAAATACTGATACCCGTATTGATGGAATTGATTGAACGAAACATCTATTTGAAATATGGTTCACGCCAGATCATAGAAGATAAGAAGCAGTATAAAAAGATCCTGTGCCTTATTTTTATATTTTTCGAAATGGAGGCGGTTTATGAACCAAACGGAATTATTGAATATGAGTTTCTTTGTGAATATTTTAAAAACGGCCTCTAAAAGCTGTGACCTGAAAAATGACTCATTGCCTGCCGAGATTATTGAAGAAATGCCTAAAAATATATAGGATTGTATGAGTATATCAGGGGACTCAGAAATTATTGGTTGAATTTTATTTTACAAAAAAGGGTCATTGAAATTGGAAAAAATTGAGATCACTTTTTTCTCATTTTTATCAAATAAAAGTAATAACACACCAGGATAGAAAATACTATGAGCTCCTAGATGATAAAAGGGTTGACTAGTTGATTTCTGTTTGAAAATGTATCTGATTTTCAGGAAAAGTATGAAGAAGTAATAAAATTAATAACGATTATTTGTCTGGATGAAGTAGAAAACAAAATGAACTGAATTTAAACATGTTTGAATTCATAACAGATGTTCAGGAAATCTGGTACTCTAAACTGTGCACAAAGTAAACTAGTCCACATACAATAGCTCTTCGAACTTCAATTGATATTCATTTCATAATGGTAGGTACCAATACATTTTTCATGTCTTCTAGTGTCATTCTCTCATGTCTTCGTCAACATATCAACGGAGATATGAAAATATACCACTGAACGGGTTCGTTTCTGTCTATCCATTTCATTCTGCTCATCAGTTTAAAAAGGATTCCCAGAAATCTTCACACTGAAAATCCATAATATTTTGAGAGTGGGAGATGAAGGAAATGCCAACTTGGTTGGTGAAACGGGCATGAAGAAGAGTTGTGTTTGATAAAGATAGATCATTTATATATAGCACAAATAGTAAGAGGTCTAATACAGTACCTTGTGACACAAGGTACTGTAATACTGAGAGTTGTCGTTCGTATGAGGGCGACAGCTGATTAACGGAAAAACAGATTTTTTTTAAACAACTTAATTGATTGTTCTTGGGTTACTCGAAAAAACTATTTATATCTACCATTCGTGAACGTTGCTTGAGGTGATTTTCAAAGAGCTTCAGTTGTGAAAATGCTATTCTTATATCTCCCAAGGAATACCATAGGGTCACAAAATCGTGGGTAGGAATACTCTCTTGGAAGTAATACTGGTTGTCAGAAAGTACATCATATTTTCAGGAATGTAACTAGATCCGCTTCTCAACTATTTTTGGGAAGTTTGTGGAAATTATTAGGATTCAATTCATGTTTTTTTTCTGAAGATGGGTTGAGTAATCGTTGTTTTCAATTGTGTTATGACTTATATTCAAATTTTTGCATTTTTCTCTATGTATAAGCTGCCGACAAATTCACTGCTAATTCATATTCCCATTTTTCCACGCCAGAATAAAATTACTGTCTGACGATGCACGATTCGCTAACCAATTTAGCATCATCAGGATATGCCATACTAATTCCTAGGACTATGTTAATATTTCGATATGCATCTAGATTGAAGGAATAATTTCCTTACATAACGAGGTTCATCAAATTGATTTCTAGTATTTTGTTATTGTTCCTAATGTTATTTGCTACCTGATTGATACCTAATCTTCACTAGTTTTCTACCTGGAACTACGTAAGAGAGTGAACGAAGTATTGTTAGCAATGGGACCCTACTGACCAACCAATCAATGACCAACTCCTTGCAAGAAATCCATTATGTACGATCAATCTGATGAGTTTCTCAATAAAGTATACAGGTGAAACATCCAGTATATGGGATCAATACAAAATGTTCTTTACTGCATAAAACAAGCTGAGATCGAACAAATCCCAGTACACGGTAGATTCTACTAGATACTCTCGTAGGAACTTCTGGTATCAGTAGATAATCTGAAAAAATCACAGAAGACTACACGAAAACAGGGGAAGAGATATTTTTTGGATACAGTTCTCCGGGTCAGGAGTTATAAATCTAATATCAGAGTCTTGGATACAGTCAGGTCCCCACAAGCGCATCTAGGAAAGATGTGTTGGAAGCTAAGTCCTTGATAGGTCATAAAGTGGAGGCCATGATACTAATTAGTCTCATGTTATGTGCATTAAAAAATGTAGAAAAACTCTTTTAAGGATATATTGGAGGAGTATAACCGGTAGAACATTGCACCGAGACCAATATGCGAGTTTTCAGAATCAATTATCAAAAAACCCGTAAGAGTCTGAAGCTGTAATCAGTGGAAAGTTTTGTCGCTATTGTTATCGGCTTTGTGATGGATGAATTACTACGCCCTTTGTACCATAATGGATATGAAGTCCTGGGCTACGCAAGCTATTAGCCATCCTGGTCCATGCACAAAACTTGGAATATTTGGATGAAAAGCAGATCGAAAGTGTACCAGTTATTCCAATATTTCGATGATGTAACCTTGAGATGAAATTGAAATAACTTGTGTAATGAGAGTACACTTCCGTTTTGCTGTTCACCCAAATGATTCTCAAGATTTGTTCTTAACTAGTCAGCAAAGACTATTAGCCGAGTTATTTTAGCTGATAACACTATTGCTATCTCGAAAACGATAGGTCCTACAAGAACGGTTAAATGGAACAAAAGTTCCCTTTTCAAGGAAACAATAGTGGTAATTCTCAGATCGAGAAAAATAACATCAACCGTTTCTGAGATATTTGCAAAAGACTGGGGAACTTTTTGCTTTATTTCATGTTTTCCTTAGTCTGTTTCAACCCATTGAAGTCCATCATCAATATATTTTACTTTGATACGAACCTGCATAGATTTTATCAAAATTCCATCATTTAACTCTTTTTTCAATAAGAAATCAAATATCTGAATATCGTTGCAAGCACATAGTAAATGTTATCGTAATAAACAGTTGCGAAAAAAAATGTAACGAAATAATAAATCGTAGAGAATGAACATTATAACGAAGTGGCTCCCTTAAATTTTTGAAGTTACCGTCTCACGCAATATCGCATTAAATGTTCAAATTGTCTTCCATCATTTCTAAATAAATACTTGCTCTAGAAATAGTGTCCTTGTAACAGTTCTCTAACATGTGGAATGATAGCCATGGAGGTTCTCCTGATTGAATTCCACAATATTTTCAGAATTTGTTCTGAATTCTTTATCTTTTATGAAGCCCTACAACGAAAAATCTAGAAGAGAAAGGTCCGGTGAACGTGATAGCCGTTCAATAGGACCATTATTTCCTATCCATTTTCCTGGCATAGTTATATTGAGGAACTCCCTGCACATTCTCCTGTGATGTAGTGGAGCTCCGTCGTGTTGTCATGAGGCTAAGTGACAAATCTTCTAGAAACTCAATCAGAGTCCCTGATATTTCAATAGGACCATTATTTCCTATCCATTTTCCTGGCATAGTTATATTGAAACTCCCTGCACATTCTCCTGCGATGTAGTGGAGCTCCGTCGTGTTGGAAATACTCATATTTTGTCATGAGTATTTGTCCCTGATAAGAAGTCCAAGTATAATTCTCCGGTTATAGATGTTTAAAAAAAGTGGGAACCAATAATTTAATTTCCAAGAACACCAAGCCATACGTTACCACTATATCTTTCTTGAAAATTGGTTACTCAATGAAAATATTAATTTTCTTGTCACCAGTGATAATGTATATTCCTGTTCAACCATCTGTTATTGGTGAATATATTTTCATCATACCACATATTTTTTTGCAAATTTCATTATTTTGGCGAAATTTTCTAATGATCCATCTACAAAAAAATGTCCACCTGTTTAAGTCCGTCAAACGCAAATGATGGACTTTCCTGACTCGATAAGCCTTGAATTTATTTTTCTTTGAAATTTTCCGAACAGACGTAGTGGCTATGGCCGAATTTTGAGCAATCTTCCTCAGGGAAATTTCCTTGTTCCCAATTTTTTTGTTTTCCACAAATCCTAAATCGAATGAATGTCACTTTATCATTATTGTGAATCTGTTTTGAACTCACCTAAAATGCGGATTATATTATTGCCAACACATTCAGTAACCGTACATTTTCTTTTGGAGGGTTTTTCAAAGGGTCCATAATTTCGTAAACTATTTTTCTCATACATACCGAATGAACAAAAAGCATAACCACTTTTTCGTCATTAAAAAAATTCGATAACTATTTTATTTTGTGTTCGTCAATTAACTTGACATTCACATCCATGTATTTCATGGCTTACTTCAAAAAAAGAAATTATCGGTTATCATGTTAATCCTGAATATCTATCATCTATGACTCTTTCGATATAGTATTTTTAATAGTCAATCCTTGTTGATATACTCATTTTGTAAACAGAAATTTTTGGGTAGCTACAAATTTTCAACAGACATTTGGAAATTATGAGTGGCTTGGTATTGATACAAAAATTATTGGGCTCTCACAACTCTGACATGAATCTATTTGGATTTCAGTGAATATAAGTATTTAGGATCTTAATGAACGACATCACGAACTCTGGATTTCCGTATCATTCGGAAATTCGAGATCTTAATAAAAAAATATAGTATATTGATGATGTGTTGATGATATGTTGTAATATATTAATGAATTAACAATTACCATGACTACCAAAATGTACGAAAAAATAAACAGGTCCGTATTTAAAAAATATATTGATGAAGGATGTCAATGAACGAAACTTCACATTGAAAAATGAGTTGAACAAGATTATGACAAACATGAAATGAAGCAAAAATTCCTTTTGTCATTTTTTGGTATTACTGAAAATGAAGACAAAAAAGGTAGAGCAAAAAAATAAAATCTGTCATTTTCAGGTTTTTGCAAATATCTCAGAAATTATTGGTGATTTTATCGATCAGAGAATACCCTTATGTTGCATTCAACCATCCTTGTGAGACCTACCATTTCCGAGATAGCAATAGTGGTATCAGCTTAAATAAACGCCCCGTCTTCAATAATAAACAAACAATGTTGATAATGAATATTACTGGAGTTTTTTCCCAACACTAAATCGTTATTTTCAACACCTCGATACGTGTTTCGATCACCAAGTGATCATCTTCAAAGAGGAAGATTAAAACTAGAAACTTGAGTTTCTAGTTTTAATTTTCCTCTTTGAAGATGATCACTTGGAGATCGAAACACATGTCGAGGTGTTAAAAATAACGATTTGGTGTTGGGAAAAAACTCCAGTAATATTCAATACTAATCTAAAGGTTCCAAACGGTGCATCATAAATGTTGATAATATTGAGTGGTGCATCAGTGGTGCTAGGATGAAGCATACATGTGTTGCTGAACTCAACTGTCCTCAAAAGATAAGCTTAGTAGGATAGATGACATCTTCCTTCACGTAGACGCCATCTATGAAATCGATAGAGAACACAATTCTCGAATATCACAAATAAACCAGGCTTCCCAAGACCGTCAGTTCGACATCGACTCGTCCTCTGTCTTCCATTGCAGCTTCCGCTGCAAGGTAAATATCTAGTTGAAAAACAGTGCTCAAATACAAGACATTTATGATTCAATACCAGACAGAGCTGTTTCAACCCGCTATAAGTCTCATCAGTGGTGCTAGCAGCAGTGCTAGGCTGCAGAATATTGTCGGCTTGGCTTTGTAACAAACCGCTTTGGGGAGCCTCGTTTATCTTTGATATTTGATGATTGTACTTTTTTGTTTTGAACTTAATTCTTTTTTCAAAAAAATAGTCTCAACTAAAAATATACCTCTTTCAATTTTAAAGACTTCCATGGTAAGGATTGTATCTATGCATATGAATGTCTATAACGACCTGTAAACGTGATATGAGTAATTTTATGAATGAAATGGCTTTTTCAATTTCTGGTATTTTTCGGGATGATGCTAATGAGGTAATAAGACAAGAGTTCGTTTTCGAAACTCCGAAGTCCTTCATTGAGGGTGATGTGTTTCATGTGAGTCTGGAATACAAACTGAATAAAAAAGATATTTTCGTATAGATTAATGGTCACATGAAAGCAGTTGTTTCAAAAGTATTCTTTCTTTTATATAATTTAATGTTCATGTAAGAATAGTTGTTTCGGGAGGGGAATATTCGGAGAAGAGAATGAATGGGAAAATGTTTTTCGTACGATTCCGTGTAGCAGTTGTTTCGAAATTGCGTTTCCTTTCGTGTGATTCAATGTTTCGACATGGTTTTTTCTTCTATGAATGGTCTTCAAATCTGTGCGAAAAAGTTGCTCTGAATTAGATTACTTTTTTCCTCCATTTGTAAGTGTCACGCAATTTTTTGTATGAAGATAGAGAAGTTGAAAGTAAAGAGCTTATTTTCTTGAGAGCTTATCTCTCCTAAAAATATACCCCTTTTGAACGTTCCAGTGATAAAGTTTGAACAGATTATCAGATTGACTGCGAAACAAAAAACAATTTAAAATCGAATTTGAAGTATTTTGGTTATTGCCTTCATCTTCAGAACCAGAATAGCGAACTCGTATAGCCCTTTATAAACAATGATTTGGAATATTTTCAGGTTAACGCGTAAAATTAGTAAATTGTAAATTACGGACTGAAATTATTTGAAATCATTTCTGATGAATGATATTTGATGTGTGTGTGCAATGAATTGAAAGCATATGATTTTTATTCTCGTTTTCAAAGATACTCTGTGAAGCATACTATTGAATGCTGCCATATCGTTTCCATTCATTCTTGTCAAATAAATATATCAATTAAGTATCGCCAATGAACAGCTACCACCTTGAGGACATGCACTTTTTTGTTTCAGCAAATTTGTGGCAACTTCGCTAACTTAAATTACATTTTTGTAAATATACTAGAATTACGATGAAACCAAAAAAGAAGTTCGAGTTCATACAAAACTTGTCATTCAATACCCCAATTCAATGTCAAGTCACTGAATTGTGTTCATTATGTAAAACCACTTTCGAATAATATAAACGAACATGAAATACGTGCCATCGATCGAATTCATCTTGAGGTTATCGAATTCTATAAAAACTAATATTTCAGTTTTGGAATTGTTAGACCCAGTTCACTTGTGGGGTGTTAACATGTATGACTTTGAAAAAATATCATTGTGGTTTCTAGTGGTGTGCATAATAAGGGTGAGTTTTGGAGAAAATAATCTTTTCGATGACTTTCGCATTATCTATTTAGTGTATATATGGTGGTGAAATCTCTGGGATAGATAACGGATGAATTTTTTGTGAAATTTGAAAAGTATTTCCCCAGCCAAAGTTTCGTTAACTAAGTACCCACTACGAGAAACTTGTAACTAGAAAGCAGTTATTTAATCTACGATTCTGTTTCTATATTTGAAACTAGATATGAATATTGTCAAGAACTCGAAGATATATTTAGTATTGAGCATCTCCTGATGATGGAAATAGAGTTAGTAAAACTTATATCAAGAAAAAAAGTCTTCATTCATTCGTAGTATACATTCATATATTGAACTTGTTGTTGAGTATTACATCAAAAAAATACTGAAATTCATATCGATATGTCGTTCAAATCATAAATTTGATTTGAAGTTCGGCAAAAAAACCGAAATTTGTTTGTCCAGGCACAAAAAATTTTCATTTACTTTTTGAATTTCAAAAATAATTTTATTTGTTCAATTGTTGTTATAATTTTTTGTTTTTGTATGTAAATTAAGTTGCCATTACATCAGTTTTGAGAAAAAAAGATTTCGACTTTCTATTTCTTCATGTAGAACGATCAATTTCAAAATAAACTCCTAACAAATACACATATTTGTAAGGAGTTTATTTTGAAATGAATTGCTTTCTTCTTCTCATTGGAAGATTCTCACATTTTTTTGTAAAAATTTGGAGTAGTAGATAGCCAAAATCTTTATGTCCATGAAAAAAATCTCTCCTGAAAATATATCCCTATCGATTTGATCAATTTTGAATTTCTGAAATTCGACTTATGGAATCATGAGATATTTGAGTGACAAGTTCTATAAATTCGGTGAATTGTTAAACAAATGTATTTTGCAAGGCCCTCATTTTGGATATAACGTGAGGAATATTACTGGAGTTTTTTCCCAACAGCAAACCATCATTTTAATACACCGACACGTGTTTCGATCACCAAGTGATCATCTTCAAGAGGAAAATTAAACTAATTATACTCGTTTATACCATAGATACCTTTTCTAGGTAGTTGCGTCTTGGGTGTCTTAAATTAATTTCCCAATATTACCTTATCTACCAGTCTTAAATTAATTTTACAATGTGTCCTTATGTTATAGTCAGATAAATCTAATCATTCAAATATTAAGTCGAGAATTCAAAAGAGTCTGGAATTTACGAAATTAAATGTAAGGACTGCGATGCGAGATATTATGGACAGACAAAAAGATCTATTAAAGCAAGATATAAGGAACACTTGCACACCCAAAACGTGGAAAATCAGAAAAATCAGCAGTCGCCCATCATATTTTGCAACAGAACCATTCACTCCAGTTCATTAACATTAGTTAGACAAGTTAACAACAAAAGGCATCTAGATGTCTATGAGAGTGTAGTAATAAGTAAAAGTAATAATATTATGAATAACAATGGTGGACCAATACCTATTGGTATACTATATAGCTAATTAAAATAATATTTTATTCATTAGATTTACATGAGGATACATGATGTACATTTTTTAAGACTAGTAGATAAGGCAATATTGTGAAATTAATTTTAAACACTCAAAACGCAGGTACCTAGAAGAGGTATCTATGGTATAAATAAGGATAACTTTGTTTAGTCTGATCTTCTTCTTTAAGATGATCACTTGGTGATCGAAACACGTGTCGACGTGTTGAAATAACGGTTTAGTAGTAGGAAAAAAAATCAGTAATAATAATTACTACACCAAAGGTTCCGATAACAAATATAAAGTGGTGTCACTTAGCTGACTATGCATTGCATTCTAAAACGACTGCTTTAAGCTCTCTAAAATTCAATTGCGATATTTTACCCAAACAAACATACTTACACTGATGAGATTCATAGCAAATATACACTGAATCATAAATAGACAGATTTTGCATTCTGGTATCTTCAATTCATCTGATTCCAGTAAAAGCTGCAGAAAAAAATTGATGAGCGTAGATAGTGTCGTCACGAAAGAAGTCGTCATCTCAATAACACAGACAGTTAATATTATATCGAGCTCATTGGTTCATTATATGCATGTGGTCAGAATTGCGCTGTTAAGGCCACTCAGATGATTTGATTATTTTATCAATAATTTACCATCTGAATGAGATTTGCTCTTCACTTAGCATTGTTCTTTACCTGTTGAGGAGATTGGGAAAAACTTAATTTGTCTATCTGGAATGACACTTTAAGAGGCCGAATTTTTTAGCAGCTCAGATATACTTCTTAATTCCTTTCGGTTCGTGGTTAGCAATTCGATGGTATTATTCTAACGAAAAATGCTCTCCTCCTAGTTTATGAAAATATTATTTTCGTGAATCATTCGGTAACTAAGATGACATTATCAAGAAATGATCGTAAATCACTTTCTTCTCATCTTAAGATATGAACTAGGTGGCTTGAAACACATGTCAAATGTTTGTTCTAAGTGCTGAGTTGAAAAACATTTCCATTACCTTCACCCTATATAGGAGATGCAATTGCGTCTGAAAATCATCGTCGATTAATTTGAAGACAAATCATTCAAAAATGATTGATATACTCTAATATATTAATCTCAATGCCAATCTATAATGATAATCATCATCAATGTCTATGTCTTTGAGAACATATAATGATAATTCTATTTTTATGTGGACTAAAATATATTCTTCATGGATTGCTCAAATTAGTTGAGGAATTTTAGAGAAAATTTGTACTTTCCTGTACCCAATCGTTCTTGTCAGGATCTCACTTTTTTTTTCAGGCGACAGCAGAGAAAGATGACAGCGATTTGAACCTCAGTCAGGTGTTTCGAACACCAAAAGACTTTTCGAGAGTGAATTTCGACCATTTTGAAATCTTGGAACGCAACAATTTTGATCCCACCCACACATCCCAAGTAGAATCAGAAAATAATGAAGAACAACAATTTGCAAATCACCCGAAGTCTGTGGCCAATGCACAAGTGATGCTGAGGTTTGGAGGTGATGATATCCATGGAAAAAACCGCATTGACTCTTCGGACAACGCAAAACCTAAATCTCATTTCCACATCAAACCCAGTCATCATGACCCTAACCACCATTTACTTCATAATGACATGAGATTCTCACCAAATTATCTTCCCTATCCAACTCATCCCTACTTTCCTCCCCCATCCCCATATAATTATCCATTTGTGCCCCCTCCTCCTTACTATTATCCCGGTTCTTATTACCCTCAAAGGCCTTGCTCTTATGAACTTTTCAATGGCCAATGGTTACCTGGTAATGAATCAAGTGAGTATATTCACTTTTGATAATAAACACGCTTCAAATGGTCAGATGATCTGAGGCATACATGACAAAAATGCATACTATGTGATACAAAATATATTCCGGCAATGTTGTCATGTCCTTCCGAAATATGAATATTCATATAGGAACATAGGATTTCACAGTCAGAGTGACGATCGGAGTGTGTAACATAAGCCGCTTTTCTTCTTCCTAATCTGAGGAAGTATGTTTGTCACCTACTTCGGCGAGACTATGTAGTTCCCTCCTAAATTAGTTAGGAAGTTGTAGAAATGGAAGATAAATGAAACTCTAACCATGTCATCAGAGTTAACTATCTGAACACACGAAAAACTCTCAAGATTGAGTCCTTGGAATCAAACTACCATTAAAACGCCAACGTCATTGACGAACTCATCAGTAGATATAACATAATCAGATCGGTGAAATAACAAGCATATCGTATTCAACGTGTCATGCCATAGTGAAATATCTGCTGACAAGTCGCTACTGAGGCTAGAGAAGAGCAATGGAAAAGAATATCGAACGCTGGGTTCAAGAGACTATAATTGTGGGTAATCCACTGACTGATATTCTGAAAATACATTCTTGATCAGTAGTAATGGCTCAATTGGGACACTTCCTAATGCAGTCCGAATCAAGTCATTCGGATCAAATTGTCGCTAATATGTTTTCCTTCACCAAAGACCACCCGAAGACAATTACCTTATCTGGTGTAGCCCTAGAGAGTAACATGAATAACTTCATGTTAGTTCATTATATGTACAGAGTAATATATATGTGTCACATCAACAACTTTTCAGGAAATATTTTGCAACGTTCGTTCGTTTTTTCCATATAGTTATTTCTAATCTTCCTGAATAATGATTACCAGTCTTCCTATATTTATTAGGGGTCGACGTTGATACATATATTGTTGACCGCTTCAGCTTGACTTTATGTAAATGAAGACCATGATACGCAACATATTGCTTAGTCGACCAAAACTCCTCCATGTAACACTCTCGAGGAGCTTTGAAGCTTATCAAAAAAGATCTGGCAAAGACTCTAGACAAAATCCACCAACCTTGCGAAGTTCAGTATCAATGTCATTCAGTATTGCATTTAGACAGAACAAAAAACTATGCTTTCAACTGTTCTTGCTATCTCATCTATACATACTGGTAGCTATGAAATGCAACCTTAAAAGACATGTGATGATGAATACCCAGCAACAGCTCCAAATAACAGATTGAGAGTTTCCGAGGTTCATAAAATGGAACAAACTGTGTGTTATTGATGACAAATTCAGAGCATGGCAGGAGAGTTCCTCCTATAGAAATTGTCACACAGAAATTGTCACAAGAAAATTTTTAGCATTGTTTCATTCCACAAGAACAATACACAGAACTCAGGTCTTGAAAATGAATGTGAAAAACAGTTTTTATGAGATTGTCATGTAACCACAATCACAGCTTTTGTAGTTTTCGAAAAAACATTGCGAAAATATTGTCTGTTCTATAATTTTTCAATTCTTAAAAAGGTTGAGACGTGATATGATGATTTGTTTGTATGCGATATTCATTATAATTCCGCAATTAATTCATCAGAACTGAATTCAACTACCATATTAAATCAGTTCCAGTTAAAAATGAAATTATTGTTTCAGAGACTAGTAAAGACCAATCCATATCGAAGGAGGATGATTTTTTAGAGAAAAAAGGAAGAAACGAATACGTACTCACAAACGAAAATCCTCCAAAGATTTATCCAGTCGAAGACTTGAGCGACGACGACATCCCAGAGGCAAATTGCAAAAAGTGCACAAAAAAGTCACACATACCAAGAGATCCCTATCAAGTGGAAGAAAATAAAGAAGCTAGTAATAATAATGAAATACGTAGCAATCCTGTCGAAGAGAGTGATATTCGCTTAGCACCTGTCAGGAAAGAGTATGTCTGGATTCCCTCAGACTCGATACAACCCGATATTTCTCGAAATCCTTCTGAAGAAGAAAAACCTATCGATTTGACAGCTATCACCAAAGAGTATGTTGGAAAAAACACTCCAATTTGGATCCCATCAGATTCAGAAAAATCCGATGTTAGTCATGAACCTACTAGGGATCATATTTGGATGCCTTCGAATTCAGAGCAACCCCAAATCAGTCGCGTAGAAAAACCAAATGATTTCAAACCGGTCAAGGAATATATGAAAAATAACTTTCCTGTTTGGATTCCTTCCGATTCACAAAACATCGAGATGATTCGTAATACTGCTACCGAAGAAAGGCCTATGGACTTGAAAGGTGCTCCAAAAAAATATACGGCGGAAAATGTTCCCGTTTGGATTCCCTCTGATTCGAATCAATCCGGGATTATTGGCACTTCTGCTGGTGAAGAAAAACCATTGAACGTGAAACCAGTTACCAAAGAATATATATATATTCCTTCAGAAACAAAAAAACCCGTCAGTCGTTTTGAAACTGTTCATGAAGAAAGGCCTTTAAACTTACAAGTTGACAACAGAGAATATGTTGAGAATGATTCCCCAGTTTGGATTCCCTCAAAACCTGACCAGTCAAGTATTCGTCATTACAAAGATGAAAGGGAAAGGCCTATCGTGATTCGTCGTAACACTGCTGAGGAAGAAAAGCCTCTCAACCTACCTGTTCCCAATAAAGAATACTCAAGAAAAGATGGGTCTATTTGGATACCCTCAGATTCAAAACAAACAGAAATTAGTCATGTCCCAGCAGTAAAAAAATCTTCTGGTTGGATTGAAAAACAGAGACCTCTCGACTTATCATCTGCAAATAGAGATGATTTTGGTATACCCACACAACCATTGATTAATAGTCACTCTGTTGAAGAAGAAAGACCTATTAACTTATTACATACTTCAAAAGAACACAATGAGAAAAATGTTCCTATTTGGATTCCTTCAGATGCAGAACAGTTCAAGAATGGTCATTTTCCAACCAAAGATGAAAAACCTACTGACTTATCAGATGTATTGAAAAAATATATTGTGAAGGATGGTCAAGTCTGGATTCCTCTGAAATTTCACCAATCTGAAATCCGTCGTCACTCTAGTGGACAAGAAAGGCCAATTCATTTCAACCTCAATGAAGAGAAACGTTTTAACATGCTAGAGAATAATAAAGAATACACCAGGAAAGATGGATCTGTTTGGATCCCATCAGATTCTAAGCAACCCCAGATTAGTCGTGTCCCGGTTGAGGAGGAAAAGCCTCTCAACTTACCAGCTGCCAATGAAGAAAACTTCAAGAACGACTTCTCTGTTCAGGTTCCGTCTGATTCACAATCTGTAATCCATCGCACTCCTGCCGAAGAGGAAAGGCCCATCAACTTATCAAATTCCTCTAAAAATAACATTGGAAAGGACGTTCCTGTATGGATTCCTTCAGATTCCAAACAATCCGAAAGCAAGCAATCTCCTGTAATGGAAGAAAAACGAATAGATATACCAGCTGTCAATGAATACAATTTTAAGAAAAATACTCCTGTTTGGATTCCCTCCGATTCAATACAACGTGATGAAAAAAAAGAAGTTATTCATAAATATGAGTCAACCTCTGCTTCAGATAAGGATTCCACCAATTCATTTCATAGGAAAAATGATGAAGGGAGAAATCCATCAACCACTGAAGAAAAACCCATCGTTTTGGGTGACATTCACAATAAAAACCCAAGTTCACCTTATCCAGTAGTTGAGGAGAAACCTATATCATTACCACAAATCAACAGAGAGCAACCTTCATCATTATATCCAGTTTCTAAAGAAATGCCAATTCTTATTCCACATGTTGACAAAAATGATATCATTATGATAGCGCCAACTTATGAGAAAAAACTAGTTTTACTGCCTTCTATGCCACACTATCCAGAATATACTGATGCTTGGTATTCTGAAGCTAGTCCCGAACAACATTTCATTGATGAAGGATGGTTAAATAAGTCACTGGTACCATCCCATTGCCAAAAATGTGGCCAAAAACCGAAATTATTGGTTTCCTACCCCATTTTTCAGGAACCACGACGTTATTTGGACACTATATGGGTTGGAGGCTGTCCTTGTTGTCAACGTAAAGGCTTCTGCGACTGCTGTCAGAGCTACAGAAATCCGAACGTTCCATTCGGTGAAAGATTTCCTGCTGACGTTGATTCTCTTTATCAAGTAATGAATATGAAAAATCCATATGAAAGTATTCAATACAACCCATCAAGCTATTCGGCTGGATATTCATCTTCTCTAGCCGCCGGGTATTCCGCTGAAATATCTCAGATTGGAAATCAGAAACCGAAAGTGAATTTGGATGGATACCGGTCCTCTTGTGGATCAGGTTACTACTCGGATCCTTCCAGAGATATTTACTATAAGGAACCAACAGTTGTCGATGTTGTGAGAACACCTAATCCATACAAACGAATTTTAGAACATACTCAGATAGAGCAACCCCAACTGTATAAGATTGTTCGTAAGTACAATATAGTTCCAAAACAAGTTACTCCATTAGTGGTCACCGATTTGGTTTCAACTAATATGTTGCTCTGCCAGAAACATAAAAATCCTAGCAGATGCCAAACAACATGTCACAGAGAGTATGTTCCTGCCAGAAATATTATTCAAATGGTACCGACAAGTCAGTTCGTCCCTTGCAGAAGCTCGCGAGAAAAAAGGGCGAGAAGTATTGAATATTAGTGACATCATATCTTAGTTTGTTGACTAGTTGTTACTTCAGTTGTTTTTGCATTAATTTTGTTAATAAAATTTTTTTGAAATCTATATTATAGTATTTTTTTTTTGTATATCTTCTGTATTATGAAAAATGAGAAATCAAACTTTCTATATTTTTTGTCACTTTTATTTGTATTTACCAGAAAGTTTAATTTCTCATTTTTCATGATGATCTTCTACCACGTAGTAACGGCTACATCAATCAATTTATCTTCTGGATTAGTTGAACATAATCAGGTAATCTGATATTAAAAAGGGGTGGATATCTTGGAAAAGGTGATTTGGAAAACACGATTAACATCAAAAAAATTAAAACTATTAATGAAATTTGTAAAAAGACACATCAGTAACATAATTACTTCCTCGTGATATCCAATAATACTAGCATCCTCATCGTATGGTCCACAGTTTACAATGTGAATAGTTCTTCTAGTAAAATACTGCTCTTCATTTGTATTCGCTGAAAATTATTAACAAATATGATGTGCTGTTTATTTGTATCCTTGTTGGGGGGGATTGGCATTGGAATTATCCTTTGCCACAGAGTGTTGGATATAGGTAGTCAGTCATATAATTATTTCACTTTTCATCACAAAAATAATCAGTGCATCACAGATCAACTTGTTTTCCATTGATAGATGGCTTGTGATGTTCACCGGGAGTTGGATATTGAGGGTTATAAGTGTGGACATTAGGTTTTGTGTTTCTTGAACATGGCTTTTAAATCCAAAAAATAAATGGTTCAAATCGGCTATAGCGTTATTATAACATGTACATAGGCTAGTATTGTGTGCGCCTATTCTAAATAAATGTAGGGAAAAACTTCCGTGGTTGAGTTTGTTGTGACGGCATAAAACCTTGGTAGTGTATATAATTCAATATGTGGAATTGTCTTGGGAAGAATGGGGTGAATATGAGTATAAGGATTATCAGATTTGATAGTATAGTTATGTCAATTATCTTGCCATTTGTCTTTTGGATTTTTTTTAGTTAGCTATTGAGTCTAGAAAGAGATATATATATATAGGTACCTAGAAGAGGTATCTATGGTATA